TAGGACTATTTACCATGTCTGTTTTATTTGTAATCATTAGATAAAGTGTTTAGGTATTTTAGGCTTCTTAATCAATATTGATAATGTATTACTCATGTTACAAATATATAATACAGATTGTTGCATTCAAAGATACATTTTGTAAATCACAACCTCTTGTAATACATTTCAAATAGAAATGTTTGTATTAATATTCAGACAATGTGTTTGATGATAAAATGCTGTTATAATTTATATAATGCATTGTCTCAGAATTCATTCAGAATTGTGAAGGGTTTTTTTCCCTGATATAAAGGACAACACTGACATGAGCTGTGAGGATTGTAGAATGTTCTTCTATGTTCATGATAATGATAAGCATTGCTTTATGCGTATATTACAGTATGTGCAAAATGTTTCAGCTGAATTTTTCTACTGCAGATCAGAATCAAGAAACTTAAAAAGAATCTTTTCCATTCAGTTTCCCATAGATATAATAACCAATTAAAACTGAGGTTTCTTAATTATCTTTTTTTTTCTGGGGATTACAAAACAGTTTGATGTATAACATTTTCCATTCCATGGTGATATAATGATTCCTCTTTCAGTTCAAAGGAATGTTTGTTAGGGGAAACTAATGACCTGGAAAATCATAAAATAAGTCAAGGGCCTATAGTTACATCTGACCTCATAAACCTATGTGTTACTCTTTCTGTGGAGGCTGTAATCATGCAAAAGATAGTGGTAGGTAATACACAAAACCCATATGTAAGTGCTGAGCTGCTGTTAAAATTCAAATAAGAATTAAAATATTTTCCTATTTTTAATACATTTTTACTCAGCTTAGAAGATGAGTATAAATATGTGTACTGCTTTGTGTGGTAAATGTTCTATTGAGAAAGCAATCATATTAAAATAATTGTAATACTGCAGTCCATTATATAATGCATTAGGTTTCCACCGTATGTACATAAATTACTACAAATGAATACAAAATTATTACAATTATTACAAAAAGTAATATCATTTACTTTTATGTCTCTGCCTTTATGTAATATCATACCCCAAGAACTTGATCACATACCCTTTTTCTTGTCTTGTTGGCATATAACACAATGTGTTTACATGGTAACAGACCAAGCTAAAGAATTTGTTGTTGTTTTTTCTTGCCTACCCAAGGGTCCTCCAGGAGCTGCTGGTGCTGAAGGCAGACAAGGAGAAAAGGGGGCAAAGGTATCATGACTCCAGAATCAATCAGATTGAACTCCAGGATCAATAAGCACTTACTTCAGTGATTAAAGCATGACTTTGTCATTTAAAGTGTTCAAATGACACCAAAGTTTTTCAAGATCAATCTGCAGACTAAAATACTTTTAGCTGCCCATTATTGGACTCAGTACATTGTTTCATTTTTATACAGTATATAACATTTTTAGCATGAGTGCTACATTTTGTAGTGCTTTCTCTGCACATATAAGTTCACAAATGTAGTTTTTATGTCAATAAAAAAGTGTTAGCAAATTATTCCGTGAGATTTTCTCTTGCTAATATAATAACCATGATCAATGACAGCAGTCCGTACTAAAATGTGATTCAAACAGGCCTACTGAAGATTGGATTCTAAATTATAGCCCTATAGGGATTTCCCATAGTATAAATACTGCATTGTTTCTGTGTCATTGGCCCTATTGAAATTCTTGCTTAATAAATCCCTTGATAAAGACAAAAGCATATCTCATGTTGGTGAAGCATGGTCCAAAATCAATGTCAGCACAAATAAATCCCTTATATACATTTTGTCACTTATCTTGACATGAAATACATGCTAATTGTGATGTACAAGAATGCCATTGTGCATTTTTCATCATAATGGAATGATTTAATTCTAGCTGTCTCAACCCTTTTTAGTTTTTGATCTTACAATTGTTCCATGTGAGTTTAGTTTATTGCCTTTGATCACTCCTGTTCAATGAATGATGATATACTATAACCTTCTGTCTACTTGCAGGAAAACAGATTGTTTCCAGTCCTGTTCTTAGTAGAGTAAAAGAGACACATTTTATTTTCTTATTAATGACTGACGTCCTTTCCCTCTATTTATATGATAATGTGATAGTTTTCATCAAAATACAGTCAAGATGATCATATCATACATGAATGTCCTGTATATAACATCAACAAATGATGGTAACTGTTGTTTTGTTTGGCATCTAATTACAGGGTGAAGCTGGTGCTGAGGGACCTCCAGGCAAAACTGGACCAGTTGGTCCACAAGGTCCTCCTGGAAAGCCTGGACCAGAGGGTCTCCGTGGTATTCCAGGCCCTGTAGTGAGTAGAACGAGACTGCTTTTCGAGCTTTAATTATAATCAAAGCATTTACGGTAAACAAATCAAGGTTCCATACTGATAAGGAAAGTTTATTTTTAACTGAAGAAAACAAAGAAACATGATTTATCAAATACATCAACAAATACTGTATCTACTATAATGCGGTTTTGGTTTTCAATTTTTCCCTTCTTGTGTGATGAGAATTTCACAGTCAGGAGGTGCTTTTCAGTTCAAAATGTACAATGTAAAGTAAAACAAACAGTAAAGAAATATCTCAGTGAAAGTTCTTATGTGGTAGGACTTTACATTCTTGGCTAACACACCTATCTAATTATTTTCAGGGTGAACAAGGCCTCCCAGGTGCTTCCGGACAAGATGGCCCTCCAGGACCTATGGTAAGAGGTTGTAAATACATAAGAAATGCTGACACAGTAAAAGCCCAGTTACTAAAATTCCTTGTGTCTCACTCTGCATATGCTAAATGCATCTATTTAATGTTTAGGGACCACCTGGTCTTCCTGGCTTGAAAGGTGACCCTGGCACTAAAGGTGAAAAGGTGAGTGACCTTCAAGTATTCTAAAATAAAGATAAGTGTTGTCACGAATTGCTTAGAAAACAATCTATGAGTGCTTATATATAGTATAAATTTTCCAAACTAACTGATACTTGTCTTAACTGCCTGTAAGCATGGATACTTAGCAATGTTACCAAGAGGCATACAGTAAGTGTTAATGGCACAAGCACTGCAAAAAGATCGTTTTAGACATTTATGAACATTTGGTAAAACACGTAAACTCTATCCCTGTAATAAAAGAAGCAAGGCAACAAAAACATGACAGTTTTGAGCCTAAAAACCTTTGTGATTTTTATTATAATTTTTAATCTCACCTTCTACAGAGACATAATTTGCAATTACCTATGTATACCACTTTTTTGGTATTGTGGCGTTTTGCACAAGTCCTCTTGTGATTTACCCCGTCTGTGTCTGCCTTTGCTAGGGTCACCCGGGTCTGATTGGTTTAATTGGGCCTCCTGGTGAGCAAGGAGAAAAGGGAGATAGAGGATTGCCTGGCCCTGAAGGTTCTCCTGGTTCCAAGGGTGATTCAGTAAGTGCAATTCTGGCATTTGCACCTGTTCGCTACATTTGTTGTGTTGAATTTGAGGTTTACAGTAAAAGCCTGGAGCAGACCTTAATAGGTACATTAAGTCTGGAAAACTATAATGCTGTTAATGATTGAATATTCTGAGGTACATTAGAATTTCAGTTCATCCATCATTTCCCTGTTGAATTATCGCAAAACCTTTTGAAGCTTGCATTTTCTCAGAAGAGTTTATCTTCTTTTAATGTTGTAGTTTCTCCACAAAGAAGGAAAATAAGATTGACCTGTGCTGAAATCAAAGTGTTTTAAAATTGGCTTTGGCCATTAGATTTACATTGATAAATAGATTTAGAGTATATTTCTCAACCTGCCATGCTGTTTCTGAAAGCAGGATAGCTGCCATCATAATCATCTTGCTCATCTCAATGTTGCATTAGAGCTCAAACTGTAATTACTGTATGTTTCAGAATTATTAAATCACATGTGGTTGACCCCAATAAAGTATTCATATTCCAAAACTTCACAAATTAGCATTGTTAATCTAAAGTAATATGTTCAGAGGAGAAGGGACTCACCTCTATATTCAGCTGCTGTGAATTTCCAAGGGAATGTCCATAGGTGATGCTGAATTGTGTGTATGTGATTATTTTTTAGGGTATCGGTGGCCCTGCTGGCTCTCTTGGCCCTCCTGGTCCTCCTGGTCTGCCTGTGAGTTCAGTTACATTAATAATTTCAATGTTAAGCAAATCTCCACATACTTGGTATTAATTAAACTCTCTTGCTTTGTGTTTTCTTAGGGTCCCCAAGGTCCAAAGGGTGCCAAAGGTTCTAGTGTGAGTCAGATATGTTCTTTAGTTTTCAGACCACTTAACGCCTCAATATTACAACAAAGGTTTTTCATCAATACAACCTGTTCTGACATTTTTTTCATCTGTTTAGGGTCCTGCTGGACAGAAGGGTGACACAGGTCTGATAGGTCCCCCTGGTCCCCCTGTAAGTATATTATTTTATTCCACAATTCTTTACTCACTGGCCAAGTACCAGACAGGTTTCAATTAAATGAGTTCTTCATTACAAGAACAAGAAGAATGGTGAAAGGACGTGGTTTCAGTACATCTCTATATTTAATGTTGGCTTTACAACTTTTGGTCTTATTCCAGAAAATGCTTTGTTTTTGTTCAGGGTCCCCCTGGTGAGATTATCCAGCCTCTACCAGTCCAGTCTGCAAAGAAGACCAGAAGGTCTTCCGAAGATGCGCAGGCTGACGAAGCTGGTAACATCCTTGATTACTCTGATGACATGGAGGAGATCTTTGGCTCGCTCAATAATCTTAAACAGGACATTGAGCGCATGAAATACCCCATGGGAACACAGAACAACCCAGCAAGAACATGCAAAGACCTGCAGCTTTGCCATCCCGAGTTTTCAGATGGTAAGACAGCTCTGAACACCATATTGATCATATAGCCTGACAAAATACTTCCTTAAATTTAAGTTTGCTGTGAATCTAGATTTCAGTAGAAGGATGAATAAGAAACTCTCCCACACAAAGTATCATACGTTAGCATTCAATCATGGTCAAATTCATAAACCTTTTTTTATTCAATCATAGCATATTAAATCAAATCATCACTCTGTTTAGTTAGATTTTATGAACCTGTTAGGTTAGTTTTTTCAATGCTTTTATTACCTAAAAAAATATTGTTCTCTGTGCACTACTCACTTAAGATGCGTTGCTGTATATCCCTTAATATAATCCTTTAGGGTAATGAAGCTTTGAATCAGGCACTTGCATATATTGTAAAGATTATAGTTTTATTATTCCTGCAAACTACTACCTTAACATAAAAGTATCAATAAAAGAGAAATTGAGAGAGGGAGATAGAAATATCAAAACAGATTTCTAGTAGTATGTTCAAGCACTATTCTTGTTGTCAATCTAGAAATAGTCTAATATTGTTGATATCATTGTCAGGTGAATACTGGATTGATCCTAACCAGGGCTGCTCTGGCGATTCATTCAAAGTGTACTGCAACTTTACTGCTGGTGGCGAGACCTGTATCTACCCAGACAAGAAGTCTGTGGGAGTGAGTGAAACCCATTTAATACAGTACATAGGTCCTTTATTGTTCTCAAAGTAAGGACTCTATAAAAAAATGGTGAATTTACTAAAGATCAAACAGATTTAGTCAAATACAATGGAATTATCATTGTAGAGAAAAAGAAAAAAATTGAAAAAACGATTTGATCTCTGTTAAAAAAAGGTTTTTTTACTCTTTTCAATTATTTTTTTTCCTATTTGGATCTCATATACAAAAAACGAATTTATTAACAGATCAAATAACCTTGACAGGATTTACTAAAGATAAAACAGATTTAGTCAAATACAATGGAATTATCATTGTTGAGAAAAAGAAAAAAATTGAAAAAAAGATTTGATCTCTGTTAAAAAAGATTTCTTTTTTACACTTTTCAATTATTTTTTTTTCCTATTTGGATCTCATATACAAAAAACAAATTGATTAACAGATCAAATCACCTTGACAGGTGTTAAAACCAGACCTTACCCCGTGTGATCTCTTTTTGAAAGAGGGCATTTATATAGTAATTCTAATCACACGAATAGCTGTAAGATGTTCAACTTAATTGATTAATATATTTTTTTAATGGGGGTGATATTATGGAATAGTTAACTATTCACTTTTTAAGTAAAACGGATGAATAACCTTATGGCATTTTATACGTCTTCCTAGTCTTAGATTTTCAATACTTCTAATATTTTTCTGCTTTTAATATAAATTAATTTTTGATCCATGAATCATCACAACATTGATTTGCTGCTTCTGAACCAAGCATTTGATCTTTTTGCCTCAACCTCGTAGATTTCACATCCTACTAATAGCAGAAAGGACAAAAAAATGTTGTTGGAACAGACAGGATTAGTTTTCAGAGATGGGTTAAACTATCTGTGGATCCTATTGAAGATTAATATTTAATCGAAATTCATATCTGTTTAAATATATATAAGCCATAGCAACATCTGTGTCCTGACAGGAAAATATTAATTTCTAAATGCAAGTTTTTCCCATATGAAGCTATCAAGCATCTTTATCCTCAATTATGAAAAATAAAAACAGCTAATGCTTCCTACAAATAACAGTATACAGTAGTTGCTTGCTGTTTTATGCACTAAATTCAATATATTGCTGGCTAAAATCCCAAAATGTTCACAAAACATTTAGTCTCTTTTGCCATATCGTTTAAATCCTTTCCCTGAAATGCAAATCTGTGGTTTTTATTGACTTTTTATATTTTTATTTTACAAATTCTTCAAAATATGTATCATCAACATATTTCTTTGGATAAGTAAATAAGCTGTTGTACTGTATATCATTTTAAAAGCTTTACAATATTATTTGATTTTAAGGAGATGTTATTTGTTTAGATACTTACAGCTGTATTATTGGTTGTGTATAACAGGTTAGGCTATCTTCTTGGGCCAAGGAGTCTCCCGGAACATGGTTCAGTGAATTTAAGCGTGGTCAGATAGTAAGTATATTTAGACCCTTTTCCATTATGTTTGTCCTTAGTGAGCTTTCAGTATTTGCTTTAATACTGTATAAAAGCTAGCCACTAGCCACTTTGGTGCCTGGTCTACTTCAGTGTTCCTTGTGTATTATAAGCCATTAGTACCTTTTAAGACATCTTAAGACATAAATAGAACCATTTCATAGATAAACAAAAGATGAACCAGTAGACACTGAAACAGACTGGTGAAAGTTGTGGAGGTAACAACATATAATAGGAGTTTGGTGCATTGTTTTGCCTAACTTATTACTACATTAAACTGTTATTATGTGTTGATGATTATGCTTTTAAATGTCCTTTTTAAAAATGCATAATGTTGTGCTAAACAACTGTTTCTCATCACCACAAGAGGAAAGGGAAATGAAAAAACAATTAAGCTCTTTGCAGATAATTTAAAGAAATAATATATTTATGAACTGCCACACACAAATTCCTTTTGCAAAAAAGTAACCAGTTCCCCTGACAAATTATACTTACAGGAAACTTTTGTTTCAGTGCCTGACCATGTGATCTGTGCCCTGTTGTGTTTGTGTATTGTGTGAGAAGGGTACAGTACATGTTTGCCTGATTACACAAAATAATTGGTAAATACTTTTTCATAATGAAATTCGGAAATTATCGCATAGGATTTATTCAAATTCCATATAGAAGCTGCATATCGTTAACAAATGTGTGGTGCTTTGCTGAATAGGATTGACAGTCAATTTAAAAGGGGGTATTGTGGAGTATTATTGGCAGGCCTAGAGTTTGTTAGTTGTATCCTACTTTCTGTAAGTACTACTGTATATATGAACTGTTTTGCGTTATTTTTAATTCAATCACATTGATACTCAGATTTATATTTTACAATATTCTGTTTTGTTTAATCAAAGTGGTATCATCTTGCTTCTTATTTTCTAACAGCTCTCATATGTGGACCTTGAAGGCAGTCAAATAAACATGGTTCAGATGACATTCCTGAAACTACTGAGTGCCTCAGCCAGACAGAATTTCACTTACAATTGTCAACAGTCTGTGGCCTGGCACGATGTGACAACTGACAGCTATGACAAGGCTCTCAGGTTCCTTGGATCAAATGATGAGGAGATGTCTAGTGACAACAACGTATACATCAAAGCCCTCTATGACGGTTGTGCAGTAAGTGTATTTCATTAATATTATTACATAATTGTGATGAACCAATTGAAAAGAAGCTGAAAATGTGATTTTCTGTTAAACAGAGCAACCTATCTTGTCTTCATGTCTTTGTAGCATTGTTGTAGGAAGTCACTATAATGGGAGTTGTGTGTTTTCCCAGTTTGCATGGTACAGTGCGTTATACAAATCTTAACCACCTTAATCTTTATCAAATACAAAATCCAAAACATTCTTGTTTGTACATTTGCAGACTATTATATCAATGGTCAACAATGTTGCAAAGACTTGCCCCCCTGATCTGCTACTCCAATTGTTGAATTATCTGTGTATAGCTATGACAGTGTTGCACAGGAGCATGTGAACCCAGTAAGAGACCTACAATATTTCCTTCCTTTTTTTGCAGATGAGGAAAGGCATTGAAAAGACTGTATTGGAGATCAACACTCCGAAAATTGATCAGGTGCCAATCATTGACGTGATGTTCAATGACTTTGGGGATCCAAACCAGAAATTTGGATTTGAAGTTGGTTCTGTCTGTTTCCTTGGTTAAACTCTGGGCAAAGGGCAGATCAACAAGCAAGCTATGACCTGGTACCACCATCCCACTTCATGCCACATGCAAGTTTTGAATAAGAACGGTGTAGAGAATATGTTTTGCCGTGTATGTATGTATTATCTAGAAAATACTTGTTGCCCTTGTAGGGCCAGAATCACATGACTTAAACCTGTTATGGAAAATCGAGAAGGACATTTGATGCCGTGACAGAGAATGGTGCACAGGCAACAACATAAGGGGGTATGCTGTGCAGTGAAGTGACCTCCTTTCTGGATTCCTTTGGTGCTGTACAAGATGACCACAATGGTGCTCATTCAAATCCAACAATGAGGTGCTAAGAAGGTGTATTTTAATAAACTGTAATTATGCTTTTGTACAATACTGTTATTTCCGAATCCACTTTCAAAACTTGCATGTGTGTCTGCCTCGCATCTGGCTCTTAATTTTAAAGTTCGTTATGAAAAATATATAAGTTAAAAAATAATATGTTGTCAATGAATACTGTGTAACTGATATGAAGCAAATAAAATGAGCATTTTCAGTCAAACAATTCCCCATTTCGAATTACAATGTATTCCCATTGTATATATTGACCATAAAAAGAGCTCCAGAAAGTCGTCTTCAAGACCTCAGGTGACACAACTGGAAAGCCTTCACCTGCACACTCAAAGCAACTTCTTCACTAACATTGTTTCTTGTGCTTCTTTTAAGCATTCAAGGCATTCATTTTTTATTTTCAATTTTTGGTGCTATACCTCAAACTTTCTAGATAATCATGAAAATTCAAGGCTGTTATACGCTGTATATACCTTGGTTAAACAATTAAGTTTATATATTTGGGGTGGGGATTTTTTCAGAGAATAAGGGTGCTTATTTGTTAGACATCTCTTGTTCAGATATTTTGTGAATGCAATAAATAGCCTTCTAGGAAACCCATTTTTGTATCTAAAATAAAACTGTTTTAATGTGCTTTTCTTGGTTCATTTAAAATATTAAAACTGGATTCTAAACAACAAAACATTTGAATGTGTGCATTGTTTGCTTACATATTTTGTAAAAAAAAAATCTGTACAATAGAATATCTTTAATTAACTTTTTTTTTGTAGTACCTGTCCATTGATCTGTTAGCAATAAATTTTCTTGCACTTCAAATTGAGAATATCGATGACGTAATATGTCTAGGTCATGTGATTCTACCTAGTTGCAAAGCAACACATAAGGGGACTGCTACGTTCAGAGCTTTCTTTATTTGACCCAGATCAGCCTAGTCAAAATCTGTTTAATTTAAAGCTGGTTTGGTATTTCCCTCTGACTAATCTATTGGTAGAAACTGGCAGTAGAAACAATTTTTAACTCTTGAGAATTCCCTTTGTAATTTTTTTTCCATAATATATGTAAGACTTGAAATAAATGTTTGGTAACTTTTGCTTTATGAGTTGTTAAATTAATTGGATTAAGCTGGAACCACAATACATTGGCTTGCCAGTATTATTTAATTTGTAATAATTGTCTGGCTTAATGTGTGTAAAATAAGTAAAAAAGAACACCTTATGGATATGCATTTCATTTTACTTTCA